TTGCGAACGCATGATATTTGATAAATGAATGCGCGCGCACAGCATTATTTGCGAGGATGAGAAGGGGGTGGCTGGGATGGTATGGGTGCATCATAGAAAAGGACAAATGGGGCAGAAACACCGGCAAATTGCACTATCCCATGGGACCCTGGGAGTCCCTGGGTGTGTGGGTGGTCGATTCCATTTGTTTCATACACGAAAACCAAATTGGTGCAATAAATGTGGTGCTCTCCATGTGGTGGTATATCGGTTGTACAACCTATGTGTAGTTATGTACTCGGTGCAACATATGTGGTGCAGTATATGATGTGCAATTCGTGAATGTGTGTGTGTGTGTTCGCAATGAACTGGCGACTCCACTGCTCGCGCAATCATCCCACACACCCACCCACGACTTGGTTTGCACAACCCATGCGGCGGCAATTGTGATGCCTGCCTGGCGCTGGCTGGCGCATCGCTGCGGCCACGCTAACGCGCGCTGGCTCGCGCGCAGAGCGGCCAGCTAGTCTGGCACGACCGACGCGGCCGCGGTGGCGCTGACCGCTGGAAACTTCCCAGCGCGTATCACAGGCCGCACTGACGCGCGGGCAATCCAATGCGAGTCGGTGAATCGGACGGGCGCGGTATCATGACGATGTCGACAACGGCAGACACGATGATGGCTGCAGCGATGTCCGGGACGACGACGATGACGACGGACGAAACATAAATGACGGCGCCGACGCTGGTAGGCTGTACTGGGGGATTTCGACATGCCCGCGCGGCCGACGGGCGCGCGCGGCAAACATGCTACTATTTGGAATGGACCGTGTCCCCCCAACACGCGCGCAAAAAAAATCCGAATGATTCCGACACGCGCGCGCGAGAGGCCCGGCTAGTCACACTTGCTGGAACAAGGCCGAAACAACGACACATATCGATCCCAGGAGAATTCGCAAGAGCGCACGCGCAAACCTTCTTGGGGAAATTCATTTGGAAAACAGCATCTCTTCTATGTTTTCTGGGACGTTGGGTTTTGAATTACCCCCACATTTTGAGTTTTGAAGAATACCGGCATGCGCGCGCGACGGCGCGCGCGTGCACGTCCCTTTTTGCGCACGGGATTTGCGAAAACAGCTGATTTCGATGACGAGGATGCCTTGGGGGTGAACCTGGCTTGGTTGAGGTGGTATGAGTTCGCATTTGAATCGGACTATGGGGCACAATCGTATGTAAACTGCACATCCCCAGGGTGGACCAGCAACCCGAGTATCGGGGAGGCTGTACATTCTAATTCCTGCGTAGACAGGGGAGCCTCTGTTCTCCAACTAACTGATGTTCGCAATGAAATGTGAAATGTCTAACCCGCTGCTCGCGCAAACGTCCCACCCACCGAACCGCGACTTGCATTACAAAACCAATGCGGACATGTTGGCGCCTGCCTGGCGCTGGCTAGCGCATCGCTGCGGCCGCGCTAGCGCGTGCAGGCTCGCGCTAGCAGAGCGGCCAGCTAGTCTGGCGCGACCGACGCGGCCGCGGTGGCGCTGACCGTGAGGACTTCCGAGCGCTTTCACCGGATGCACTGACGCGCGGACGCACGCGCATTTCAGAGTGAGTCGGTGACTCCAGCGGTCGCGGTATCATGGCGACGTCGACAAGGGCAGACACGATGATGGTTGCACCGATGCTGGTGACGACTATGACGACGAAAACGGCAAGGCGAATGACGGCGCCGATGCAGATCACGCCGATGGCGACGATGGTGTCGATGCGTCGGTGGTGAAAATGTTGGAAGGATTACTGCATGTGCGGACGCCCAACGGGCAAGCGTGGCAGGCATTGTATATTTTGGCACGGGCAGTGCCCCCCCGCATGAAAACAACACTGTTCGAATGTGTTTTTAGCACGCGCGCGCGAAAGGACAAATTGGTCGCATGTGTTAGAACTGTGCTTAAACCAAAAAATAATCTTGTTGGGGAATTCGCAAGGGCGCACGCGCAAACTTCCTTGGGGAAACTCATGTTGCAATACCCTGCGCTGGTTTAACATGTTGTTGGTGCATTCGACCTTGAAGTCCTTGCGACACCTACGTTTTTGAAGGACTCCAGCATGCGCTCGCGACGACGCGCGCGTGTGCATTTCGTCCTTGTGCTTGCAGGCGGTTTTCGGAAACGCGTGGGTTTTGGATGAGCGAGCGTACGCGCAAAAGGTTGTTCGCAACGGGCGGGGTGGTGTCGAAGCTGGCCTGGCTGGGATGGTACGATTTCATGCTACGAACGCTGGGACAGAATGCCCATCCCCAAGGCGCGGGGATAATGTCAGTTGGGGGTGGGTGAACCCAACTTCCTTTGCAAGCAAAAGAATTCACCCGGCCGAACTTGAAGTTGTCAACTCCACTGTTTGCGCAAGCATCCCCCCCCCCGCAACTTGGTTTGCAAAACCCATGCGGCGACCACTGCGATGACTGCTTCGCGCTGGCTGACGCATCGCTGCGGCCGCGCGGACGCGTGCAGGCTCGCGCGCATAGCGGCCAGCTACTCTGGCGCGACCGACGCGGCCGCGGTGGCGCTGACCGTTGGGGACCTCCCAGCGCGTCTCCCAGGACTTGCTGACGCGCGGACATCTCAGCGCGAGTCGAACCATTGACGGCGCCGATGCTGATCACACCGATGGCGATGATAGTGTCCACGTGTCGGCGATGAAGGTTTTGGAAGGATTTCGACATGCACCCGTGGCCGGCGCGCCCTCGTAGCCCGCATGCTATGATTTGGCAGGGACCGTGCCCCCGCGGCGCGCGCGCAAAGGCGTTCGCATGATTCCGACGCGCGCGCGAGAGGCCCGTTTGGTCGCATGTGGCCAAACAAAAGAATGAACAACCCATGGTTTCCAGAAGAAGTCGCGGGAACGCCCGCGCAGATTTTTTTAAATCGAACACTCATGTTATTATCCTTATGTTCTTGGAAATGTCACAATCCACGCGAAATTGAAACACTTGGGACACGTGAGACTTTCGAGGGAATCTGGCATGCGCCTGCAACGACGCGCGCGTGTACTCCGTCACGTTTCTGTTGTACGGATTCTTTTGATAAGCGAATGCGCGCGTAGTGTCACTTGACGAGGGTGACGGGGGGGCGGTCTGTACCAGCTTGGCTGTGATGGTGTGAACTCATCTTTGACGTGAACGATGGGGCAGGATTAGAGTTAAAAGGGGATCGATAATCCAAACATCGGGGTGGTGTTAAGTCTTATTTCCGCTTCGGAGATGGATACATGTGGTTCGCAGCCTACGCGGTGCAATATCTGATGTGCGGCGTCGACGGCGGCAGCAGAACCGCCAGACAGCCACCGAAGCCCAAACAACGGGTGGCGACGAAACGGCGACGACGACATAACCGCCAGCCATACCGCCGCACAGGCCTAGACGACGGGCGGCGACAAGGCGGCGAAGGGGTGGGGACGGCGACAAAGTAGCCGCCAGACCGCCACATACGCCCAAACGACGGGCTGGGACGAGGCGGCGACGGGGCGGCGACGGCGACAACATAGCCGCCAGACCGCCACACAGGTCCAGTTCCTTAGAATAGAATTGTAACCCCTAAGTGCAAACACTGTTTGGGGAATCAGGTTTATCCGCAGTGCTGCTGCGTGTGGATATTCCTGGCTTTGCAAAGTACTCGTAATTGTGAACTGGTGTGCCACAAGACCCGCCACCATTTTTCTGAATAGTCAAAGTGCGACGTTCTGCCAGCCTCTCAATGCGTGATCACCGATGTATCTATTTTGGTGTGCTACACCCTCAGGTCAGCTGCTTTTACAAGCCCGTATATTTGACTTCTCTTTCTGGGCGTGTCAATCTTGTGATCATTTCGGACACATCCGCACGAACCAAGCGGAGGGGACACGAGGCCGTGAAAAGAGGGAGGGAGTTTGTTTCGGGGGGGCACACATTTACCATACAATGTTTGTCACTGAAGAAAGACGAAACGCGGCGGCTTATCTTCGAAAGGTGTCAACCGCCTGAAGGTTGGCACGTTGGACAACTTGGGTTGCTAGGCTAAGAGAAACTAACTCCTACCCGCCTCGCGCACCCTGCATACCGCAACCGCTGCGTCCCAGTTGTAGCGGTGCTTCCTCAGCACCCCGCCTCGCACACCTGAAGAATGACGACTGCATACCGCGGCCGCAATAGGAGGCCACATGCGAACCCTACCCCTACCCCCAACGATTTCTGAGGGGGCGGGTGTGCACTTCGCTCGGGAGCTCCCGAACGAAGTGAACCCCATCCTCCACCTCAGAAATCGTTGGGGGTGGGGGTAGGGTTCGCATGTGGCCCCCTAAAGCCACTCAAGGGCCTGGTGCTCCCTAAGGATCCCGCCTACCGTTCTCGGGTGCCGCCCTCCTGGAGGTCACCTCCAGCAAATGCTGGCCCCCTCCGACAGCCAGCGCCCCCCAACCGAACCCCGAGTGCTTGAAATACAACGTTTTCCCGGCGCGATCCACGCCACAGGGGACGGCGATCTTGGAGCTGGACAGCTGGAGCTTCGGCATGCGCAAGCAGCTAGCCGATAATCCCTATTTGAAACGGTCACGTGGCTCTTGTCTGGACCTCCGACGCCGTAGCCGCCTCCAGGCCACGAAGGCGCGTCCACCTTTGACCTGGAGAGATGAAAATTCAGCAGGCGCTCAGAGTCAGACTTTCTTTGAAAAAGTCTGGAGTTGGAGTCTTGGAGATTGGCACCAACACCAACACAGGGGGTTGCCTCCACAGGGGAAAGATGATCCTCGATTTCGGTGTTGGTGGTAATACGTCGGTCACCTTCGAAGCCATAATATTACCAGCATCGCCGAGATCGGGATCTTCTTTCCTCGGTGGAGGCACACCGCCGATATTGGTGTTGGTGTCAACCTCTAGGCCTGCGATGGTGGTTGATGCCTGGCTCTTCTACATTCTCCGCGACATCAAATGCAGCTATCTTTGAGCTGGCCTGGTGGAGCGCAGGTGGTCACATACCGTGTTCCCTTCAAAAAGATCCAGTGCCTCTTGCATTCCGCCGCTCATGATGTGCATCATGCTTTCCTCTGTTCGAATCAACTAAGTCGCTGAGGTTGTCAGGCGCAAATCTGGGAACGGAGGACAAATCAGTGTTCTTGTGATCGGAAAACGTGTACAACAGGGTGTCTGAGACGTCGTCCAGGAGAGTCATGAACACTGACGACACAGCCAGGCAAATGACACCTGCCACGCCTGCAACCATGTCGGGGTTGAACACTGTTTGCTCCGAGATATATCCTTCCGTCAGCACGGCCCACGAGCAAAATACACCACAAGCGGTGATAGAACCCACGCAGACGAGTTGGGCGATGAATGTCGCACCGTTCAATACAGTAATCTCTGACCTTTGCCGGGAGATGAAATCAAGCCCCTGCATTGCAGACGGCATGAAATGAGTCGAATATATCGCGCTGTGGATGTATGCATTCTTGTTGATGCCCGCCAAGCACTGTTCGAAACAATCCAGGCAACAGAAACAGGACCTGGCGATGCACTGAGTCACACGGTTTTCCTGTGCGTCCGCCTCTTTGTCGATCAGGTACATGAGGAATTGCAGACCACGAACCAAGGCAATGAGGAACGCCCCCACTGCCACAGTGCCTGAGTGGAATACAACGCAATTCAGGAGACCAGTGATCACCAGACTCAGACCCCCGAAGCCCTCACAGCGCTTGGACCCGTTCTCGTTCTTCGGTGTGTAGTACCACGCGACGGTGGCGTATGCAATAGCGTACGTTTGGATCGCATTGCACACCTCCATCAACCAAACTATCCCAAACCCAAAAATCCAGAGCATGTAAATCTGCTCCGTTGTGAACGACACGGTACCATGCAAGCCGCTGACCGCAAACGTGCCGATCTGTATGGACTTCTGCGCAACCGCCCCACAGGCAACGAGGTGCAAGAGGTAATAGAGGAGCACTGCGAGGAGAGCGACCTTTAAGACGGAGCACACGACGGTCTGCAGCAAGACCCATGGCATCGAGAAAATCACTTTCGCGGCAACCTGTAGGCACCCGACGGCCACATCGATCGTATCCTTGGCGCAGCACGCCAAGATGGCCAATACAAGGCCGACAATGATGAGCGCGGCACCGGTCACAATCGAGGCTTCTCTTGCAACGGGTTGGCTTAAATATTCGAAGAGAGGCTCGGCAACTGAACCAGTGGGGTCGAATCCATCAAGATGGAGCCCAGCAACTATCAGAAAAATGCCGAGCCCATTCGTGAAAGCGACGCAACTCCAGAGGCAAAAAAGAAGCGCTATCTTGGCACAGTGCCAGACCATTGTCAAATAAAAGAAATTGACGACCACGGCGCCAACGAGCACTCCTGAAAAAAGCAGTACGTTGTCGACGTGCCAGAGGCTGCCTAGATCGTGTAACAGGCCAACTGCTGTGTCCACGTAGAGAGTCGTTCGAATATGGTCGCCCATCGTTGTGAAGGCTTCTGCAATCAATGGGGTATAGGGAACGCAATATGTGTAACCAATGAGGCGTGTGGGATATGTGGTCAAATTCTTCGTCGCCTGTGTCACGGTGAGCACAGTAACAGTGCCTCCGTCTTGCAATGGTTCGATATGTTTGTGCTCGTCTGGCTGCTGTGGGCACATCACAGTGGCCCCCGTGTCCGCTGGGCAGCTGCTGACACAGATAGGGAAATCGGTCTGGATATCTTTGGGAGAGGCATCGGCCACGTCTCCTTCCTGGCACCAGTAGAGGAACGGCTTCGTTTCCACGCCCGCATCCAGCCCACACAGACGGCCCTGCCAATCCATCCCAGAGGTGAGCTTTCGAATGTCCCCGTGCCCCCGTGCATAAAGGCAAATCTCTACCATGCAACCCAAAAAGAACAACAATACTAGCGCGCACAAGGGGTCCGTGCATGTGCGACTCAGCGGCTTCTTGACAAAATTGTCTTTCGCCCCCGCCAGTTGCCCGGCATCCTGCGCCTCGTGCTCTTCAGCCAGCTGCTCGGCGTGCAAGGCATCCACCAACGTGAGCGGATCCGCCTTGTCCCGCTCGCCCGCGCACACGTTCGCCACGTTCCCCATCCAGGAAGAGACTGCGAGATGGGGATTTACCCATATATATATATATAGATATATACGTGTATATCCTGGTGCCCCAGCGGGAGGTGGATGTGGATATGTGTTGGCCCCCGGGGGTCCACCTATATCCACGTCCAGCGCCTCTGGGGCTCCGCGAAGGTCGATATCCCAGGCGGTGGTCGTGGACAAATCCCCGCCTCGGCGAGACGGGCCCAGACCTCCGGCGACCCGTCTGGCTCCGCGCGTGCGGGCTCGTGGCTCTCGGCCCCGGCACCCGCACGAGTGCCGCGGCGCGGGCTGCCCCTGCTGGGCCCGGGGTGCCCGCGGCAGGTCCTCGTGCGGCGGGCCCTCGTGCGGCGGGGGATCTGTCGACCCCTGTGCGGCGGGCTTCGTGGAGTTTTCGAATGGACCAAAATTTTGGGAGCCCCGCTCTGGGATATACGATAGGGGGGGGCGTCCGTCCTCGATATGGGGCGCGTCCGAGTAGCACCCCAGGGGTGTATTCCAGAGCTTCCCCCTCTCTGAACGGCCACTCTTTTCGGGCGGAACACGGGAACTGGGTGAGAAGAGTTGCCTGCGAGAGTCTGCGCAAGCATCGAACTGGTCGGAGGGCCGCGCAGGGGGGGGGGGGGGAGCGCTAGAAGACCGGAGAAGTCCGCCCGGACCTCCGAACGTCTGTGGCGGTGCAGCGTTTTTCTTCCTCGAGCCCCTGGGCACCGCAGACCCGAGACGCGGCGCTGAGGGCCCCCCATGTGCAGGAACTTGTTGATCAACCAGGACATTGGCGCGCCCGCGAAAACTGCAGCCGAGGGCCGAAGCATTCTCCGCTACTCGTTCTCTCCTGGTTCAATGTTCAACGTCCTGGTTGGCACTGCCCTGGTTTGGGGGTCTGTGAGGCGTGCGCCGCGGTGCGCCGTTGGAAGTGGCGCTGGGTCCTCCCTCTCCTCCGCCTCCTCCTCCTCCTCCTACATTCCTTTGCCTTGTACATAATTTCTCCCAGTCGCACTCCGAGGCAAGGTTTTAGGGCAGGCCGGGCCTTTCGCCTAAAACTTCCTCACCATTTATGACGCTGAAGCTTACAACCTGACAACAGTTTCACAGATGGAGGGCGGGTCGTTTGCAAAATGTGGTTCCCGCGTCAGCGCGGCGCACATTCTTTGTACAAAAAATGCAATGAGGGCGGGCCGTTTTCAAAATGTGCCTCTCACGTTAGCGCGGCGCTTTAAACATTTGCAAGAGTGACACGGATTGAAGGCGGGCCGCTTCCAAAATTCAAAATGCGGTGTTCGCCTTAGCGCGGCGCACATCCGTTATAAACATTTGTAAAGAGCTTCACAGATTGAGGGCGGTTCCTTTTCAGAATGTGGCTCTCGCTTTAGCGCCGCGCACATTCATTTACAACATTTTCAAGCCTTTCACGGATTCCCATCATCAACATACCAGAAATGGTGTTTTGGACGGATTCAGGACACTGCGGGTGCAAGAGTTACGTTGATTCTCTGTCCTCAAATCCTAAAAACGGCATTCTGGCACGATTCAGGATCGTCAAGACGCAACAATCAGGTTGATCCGTGGCGTTGTAATCCAATGTTTTGGCATGCTTCAGGGTCTTCAAACGGGTGCCTTCCAACGAGGCAGTTCCATCAATGGAAATGAACCGTTGTAGGGGCCTATGAAGAGGGAGCTTGGAAGAGGGTTTACTCCAACATCGTTGAATGACCTTGGGTTTGAACTGGTCCTCCTCCTCCTCCTTCTTCCGTAGCCGTTTTGGCGCAACCGCCGTTACTGTGAACAGAAAATTCCTGGACCCCGTCCTGGGCTCTACCGTTGCCGGCTTTCTGAGCTGCGTCTGGCCGCGGAGGCAGATGCCTCCAGAGACGCCCCAGCACAGATTCGAAGCGATACCGCCCACGAGGACTTGTCCTTCATCCGAGGTCTCGACCCGCTCCCGGGTGCGAACATTCCATCCCGACTCGTGATTTTTAGCAGCCCAGGGGTCCTGTTGAAGGGCCCCCAGCCTTCAGCCGTGTTGTTGCTTCACGACGCGAGGGGGTCTGGTATCGGGGGTCCTACATCTGCTCCGGGGCCCCGAGGGGGTCCTTTCGCGGCGACCAGAGACCTCGCAGGAAACCTTAAGCAAAACGTGAATTCAAAAACAACACTCGCACACACACACACACACACACACACGCACACACACACACACACACACACAGGAACACGCACACGCACACGCACACGCACACGCACACGCATACGCACACGCACACGCACACGCACAGTCACACTCACACGCAGACGCAGACGCAGACGCAGACGCAGACGCAGACGCAGACGCAGACGCAGACGCACGCGCAAGCGCAGACGCACACGCGCACGCGCACGCGCGCACGCGCACGCGAACACGCACACGCACACGCACACGCACACGCACACGCACGCGAACACGACACGCACGCGAACACGACACGCACACGCACACACGCACACACGCACACGCGCACACGCGCACACGCACACACGCACACACGCACACACGCTCACGCGCACACGCGCACACGCGCACACACGCACACACGCACACACGCACACACGCACACACACACACACCCACACACGCCCACGCACACACACAAAAAATAAACTCTCTCTCACACACACAAACACACACACACACACACACACACGCAACATCACGCAATAACAACAACACAAATCCTCGATTTAGGATCCTCAGCTTCTTCTCTCGTAGTCGGAAAACAAGCCCGCATCCCCAGCCTCCCGGGGGCCTGGCCTCCGGGCCGCGACCTCGTGGAGGCGAAACGCTCCCTCGCGGCTGCCTCGCGCGGAGCGCGACGATCCACGGCCTCGCGCCCCGAAGCCAGGCCGCGCGGGCGTGGCCGCGGAGGCGTGCTCGCCGCCCGCGATCCTCCGGGGCGCCGGGAGGTCTGCGCAGGCGGCACCCGGGCGACACCGCCGCAGGGCGCGGTGCCGCGGCCGCGGCGCGCGGAGAGGCCCCGGCGGGCCGGCGGGGGGGGGGGCCCGAGGGCCGCGCGCCCGCCGGGCCCTGGGAGGGAGGAGATGGAGGAGGAGGGCCAGAAGGGGGAGGAGGAGGGAGGACCAGGAGGAGCGCCTGCCTCGCCCGATCTCGATCTATAGCATGGGCTGCGAGTGTCACCTGGCCCCGGCCGGCCGACCGACCAGGAGGAGGAGAAGGACGAGGAGGAGGACAAGGGAGGAATAGAGAGAGCGACAGAGAAACAGCCCGTGGAAGTCGGGAGCGCCCCTAGAAACCTCTGGCCTTGCGCCCGGCTGCAAAGACCACAATAACATCGCCGAGTGTTGGTCCAGCGTTTGCGCTGGCGGGAGAAGCGTCGGTTGAGGAGAAGCAGTGGAGGGAGGGAGGGAGGCAGCTGTGCTTCTCAAGCCTCTCGGGAGGAGGAAGAGGGTGACCAGAGTAAATCCAGGATGCGTCAGCGATGCTGCAATAGTTGCACGGCCCCGTCCCAAGAGACCTCCCCAACACCATAACTCCCTGCTCCCTGCAAGCACTCCTTGGAGGAGGGACGATGACAACATCGTTGGGCAGCGCTGACAGCGCCCGCTGGGAGCCCGTCGACGCAGGCCCCAGTGTCCCTGCCGCTCCCCCTGGGCGCTGCGTTTCCCCGCCCGCCGACCTTCCATACCTACGGTGGAGGTTTTAGATAAGAGGATGCCTTCGATAGGGAATCCAGGGTCTCGCGACCGATGAGCGGCCAAACGTGCGCCACCCACGTCGCCTTGAAGCAATAAGGGATGCGCCAGGGCCTGGGCCCCAGGAGGACGTTCCTTATCCAATGCCGCCGCCGTATCTCAGCGAGCTGGGTCGACCACGGGCTTCGGATGCCGTGGCACCGCGCGTGGGTGGCTGTTTCGAGGACGAGGCCCGGACCCTGGGCGGATCGTTTGCTGCTCTCGACCACGGCGCTCTCTCTTCCACACCGGCCCCCGCGCGCCACCTTTTCTGGCCCCGAGGGCCACCGCTGGCGACGCGCCACAAAGATCCTTCCGGCCTCCGCGCGTCATTTTCTCCAGGCCCGGGGGCCACCGCCTGCGACGCGCAAAAACAAAGGAGAAAAACCTACGCAGCCACGCTGGGCGAGGGCGTGAGCCTGAGACACGCAGGGCGTGCTCCGCGCGGGCGGGCGGCCCACGGCGCGAGCAGCCGAGCACAACAACGCGGCACCGGCGCGGCACGGCACAGGCTCGCCGCGCTCCAAGACCTGCAGGGCACGGCACGGCACGCGGGCGCGGCACGGCACGTCTTCTGCAGGCTACCAGGGCGTGGGTACAGTCATCGGCCTGACCTAAGGAACGGGTAACGCATAGGGAACAATGGACTAAGAATACATATTGCATAGGGAACGATACATAACGCATGCAAGCCTAAGGAACGACCGAGCCCCTTTTGAGAAGTAAGCGTTCCTTATTCAAGCCGCTCACTGTACGGCTCGGCACGGCTCGGCACGGCACGCGGGCACGGCACGGCAACGCACAGCTAATCGCATTCCAGAGAACCTGGGCGCGGGACGGCACGGCAGGCTACAGGCTCGGAGGATTTGTCTCCGAAGGCGGGTCCCAAGCCAAACATCGGATTGCAGCCGGTCGTAAGTTAAGTGAGCGAGGGGGAAGCAGCGTGGGCTTGAGCCACCTAACTTGCACCACTTAGCTTGCACCGCATCGCTTGCACCCGGTGTTTATCGAGCTGTGCTGCTCCCAGTCCTATTCGCGGCCGCGACCGGCAACTCGAGAGGATTTTTGCCCGCCGTGGTTCGGGGACTCTGCTTCTTGCTTGCTTTGGGCTCCTCGTCACTGCTGGCGCTTGGGTGCGCATTGTGGGTGCCTCTCGCTCCTACGCAAATTGCGAGAACGTATGAAGTCAAACAACACGAATCGCAAAGAAGTCTCAGGCGAAACCGCGCCCAAACCAGGCAACCCAACCGCCCCGAACAAAGCCAAACCGGGGAAACCGCGAGGAAGCATCGCACGACACCAGATCCCAACCAGGCAAAAGGCGAGGACATCTCGAGCGAAATTGCGCCGACACCAAGGCAGGCCAGACAAATCGCATGAACATCTCAAGCGAAACCACGCCGAATGCGCACCGAACCAGAGACCTCTAGAGACCGAGTCCTTCCATTCACCATCCTTCTCCTCCTCCACCCTCTGTCTGCCCCTTCGATAGAATTATTGTCCTTCTCCTCCTCCTCCTCCTTCTTCTCCTCCTCCTCCTTCCCCCTGCCCGTCCTCGAAATTATCGTGGCATCCGTCTCTCGCGGGCGGCGTCGTCTCCTGATCTGGGGTCTTTTCGGGAATGAATCCGGCCCGCCGCTGGTAATGTACATGTTCCAATTTCCGAGTTGAGACACTGGAAACTCAAAATCGGCTCGAAATCGGTCCCCAGACCCCTCCCGGGGTCCAAACGCACCAGTTATCCGAGCTGCGTCCAGCCGTGGCCGCGCTCCTGCCCCTCGCTGGGGCCCTCCCTCCCCCTCCTCCTCGGCCTCTGCATCGCCCTCCCTCTCCCGACCCCCCCCCCCCTCTCGACCTCCTTCCCCCCTCCCCCCTCCTTCCCCGTTCCGCCCCCCTGCCCCTCCTTTCCCCCGTCATCCCCCTCGCCATCCTTCCCCTCCCTCATGCACTCCTTTCCCCCTTCCTTCCCTCCCAATTATCCCCCTCATGCTACCCCCCCTCTCCTCGCGCTCTGCTCCGAGCCCGGTCCGCAGCCTCCAGCGCGTCGTCCCGGGAGCGGCCGGCGGCAACCTTTCACCCGCCCACATCTCTCTCCTCCCCTTTTTGTTCCTCTCTCTCTCTCTCACCCCACTCACCCTGACCGCACCTCTTTCTTGCACACATGATCTCCCCCTTCTCTCTATTCATGTATCTCGCTCCGTCTCACCCTCTCTCTCGTGTCATTATGTGCATCTCCCTCTCTCACACTCTCTCTCTATCTCTCGCTCTCTCTCTCTCTCTCACATTATTTCTCTCTCTCTCTCGCCCCCTCTCATTCTCGTCTCGCCCCTGAAAGTGTCTCTCTATGTTCCCGCCTATCCCGCACACTGTTTTCCCACAAACAGGACTGCCCCGACATGGTGTGTGATATTGCTCGTGCTTCTAAAACCGTTCTCTGCTCGTCAAATATTGTGCTCAGGCTGCATGTAGCGAATTCCACCGGGCCTCCGTGCAACGGAACAGCGCCCTCGCCCCAGCGGTGGCCGTGCTCCTCGGTTGGCAAGAGTGGTGCTCCTGCTGCAGCGTTTGCCACGCTCCAAGATCTCTGTTGAGTTCCCGCCCAGCGCTGGCCGCACTATTGAAAAGGCAAGCATGTATCCCGTTGCAACCGTTGCCGCGTGTGGAAGATTCGCTAGAGCCTCGTCCCACGGAACCGCGCAATCGCCGTCGCGGTGGCTGCACTTCTGCATCATCAACAGACATGCTCCCACGTCAGCGGTAGCCACGTCTCAGGATTTCGGAATCCATGTCTTCTTCGACATCCGACTATGCAAATAGAGGGGGACTCAAATCTATGGTAGTGGATGGCAGGGAGGGCTATGCTGTGAGATATGGCACAGTCGCACCAGTAGTCCTCTCTCACTCTCCCTCTCTCTCTCTATATATATATCGCTCTCCCGAATGACACTGCCCTTCCTTACCCTCCTCCTCCACCTGATCCCTGGTTGGGAGGAGAGGGGTGGCGGAGGAGGAGAAGGAGAGGGGAAGGGGCAAGGAATGTGGATGGAGGAGGAGGAGGGATACGGCGGGAGAAGAAGGATACATGGATGTGCATGCAAGGGAGGGAAGAGCTGGGATGAGACGGGAGGTGGAGAGCAGACGGAGAAAGAGAGAGAAGGGGGAGGAACGAGGGAGGAAACGGAATGTACAGAAGATGAAACGGATGAAAACATGTAAGAGAAGAAGGCAGCTTCCCCCTCCTCCACCTTCCTGGGATTCCTCATCCTCGTCTTCTGATCCTTCCATACAGCTCATAGCCCTCCCTCATTCCCCTTATCCACGTGCTACTACTCCAAATGCCGCTCCTCCTGCTCCTCCTCCTCCTCCTCTTCCTCCTGGTCCCCCTCCTCCTCCAGGTCCTCCTCTCCTCTACCATATGCCGCCTCCTTCCCTCTCCCATCTCCTGTTCCCCATGCCCCTCTTGATCCACCTCCTTTTTCGCTTCATACTCTATTTGTTCGCCCCCACATCCCACTCCTCTCCTCCTGATCTTGATTCTACCCTCCTGTTCCACTTCCTCGTCTCCTCACATCATCCACGTCCTTGTTTTCCTCGTTGTCGTCGACGGCGTCGGCGGTGCAACCGTCGCCGTCGGCGGCGGCGCAGTCGTCGGTGCCATCGGCGGCACTGTCGTCGACACCGTCGACGTCGGCGCCGCCGCCGCCGTCGCCAGCCTCGCGCTCCAGCAGCCCGAGCGAGGAGCCGAGTGCCACCAGCGCCTGCCGCGGGCGCGCGCGCGCGCGGCGAGCGCACCGCGCAGCAACGGGCAGTGGGCTCCGGGCGCCGTCGTCGCACTCGCCGCCGCCGCCGCCGTGGTCGCCGTCGCCCGACGACGGTCGCCCGGCTCCGTCGCCACCACCGTCGTGGCCGCCGTCTGCGCGCGCATTCGCGGCCGTCGTCGCTATCGTCCATCGCCGTCGCCCCCCGCCGCCGCCATCGTCGCCGTCGCCGGAACCGGTCGTCGGATCCACAGAGCACCAGCTGCCGCCGCCCTGTGGCTCCAAAGCGACAGCGCTAACGACGGACACTGCGGGGACAGAGAAGAAGATGGCCTATCGGGCTGGGCTGCCCGATTCATCCGGCAGGACCCCCCCCCGCACGAACAGCACAACCCGGCCCAGGAGGAGGGACAACGACAGGACAAGGGGGCACCACGGCACCGCTGGCTCCGCTCCCTGCTGTGACAGAAGTGATGGCGGGGGGGGAGAGATACAGAGGGGCGGAGAAGAGACAAATAGGGAGGAAGGTGGGGACGCAGGGGGGCACGAAGGTGGGGACGAAAGGGGCACGGATGACCGATGCTGGACACCGTGGGCGGGCGCTGGAGGCACGCAGAGGGTGTGCGCACGCGCAGGCCTCGGGGAGGCAGGCGGCGTCGAGGAAGTTGTGGGAGACGGCGACCGTGAGGCCTGCAGCGGGGTCCGGCTGTGAAGGGGGGTTATCCCTGCTCCTCGTCCACTCTTCCTCCTGCTTGCTTCTCGCGCATCGCTTCTCCCTCCTCAACACCGCTCCCCCCCCTGCCCGTGCCCTAGGCAAAAGGTAGAAGGCGATCTGACGGCAGGTACGGGCGCCTCTCGGCGGACAGACAACGACAGCTGATGGAATTCTCTTGCACAGTTGTGCTCTAGAGCTCGGATCTCTGTATTTTCGCTCGTCGTCGTCCCCCTGGTCCTGGCCCCAGCCCCCCTCGCCCCGCTGGCCCTGGCCCTGGACCCAGCCTCCCCCCCCCGCCCCGGCCCCAGTCCCCCTCGCCCTGGACCCTTTATTTTCGCTCGTCGTCGTTCCTGGTCTGGTCCTGGCCCTGGACCCAAACTCACCCCCCAGTCCTGGCCCCAGCCCCCCTCGCCCTGCTGGCCCTGGCCCTGGACCCAGCCTCCCCCCCCCCCGGCCCCGGCCCCAGTCCCCGTCGCCCTGGACCCTTTATTTTCGCTCGTCGTCGTTCCTGGTCTGGTCCTGGCCCTGGACCCAACCTCCCCCCTGCCTCTGGCGCCGTCTCTTCGGTGATGACCTGCGCGCGGCGTCCGTGCTCGGATGCCGCGCGCAGGTCATTACCGCTGGGGGTATCGTCCGTCTGCCAGGCTGAAGAACGTTCGAGGGACACCCTCCCCCAGGAGGCACAAGAGCACCCACAACAGGCACGAGGAGCAGCAGGGTGTACCCTGCCCAAGCCGACCTCGATCTTTTCCCCGAGTCCAGCCGCATCGCATGTATCACAACTGTCGGGCCCGTGCTCGGCGTCCGATGATCACACACACACACACACATCACATCGACTACACGCAAGATTGACCCTGGGTAAGAGTGACATTTGGTGCGCGGCTTTTGGGAGGCCGCGGGGGGACCAAACCCGAACGCGCAAGACGCCACTATCGCAATCGCGCTCGGCGGCCGGGGGACCCCAATGGGCCCGAACCGAAGGTCACTCCGGCGAGGGGTCACTCTTACGGGCAGTCAGATCACACTTGTCGGCGTCCATGCTCGGCGTGTCGGCGTGTCCATCCATTCTCTGGCGAGCCCCTTTGCCGGGCGTGTCTGGGCGTCTGCTGCACGCAGCAGTCTCGGCGTGGGAGCCCGCCTGGCCCCACGTTCCGCACGCTGTGGGCCACGAGGGACGGCACGAAGAGCAGCTCGCCTCCCCGCGGCGCGCGCGCGCTGCGCCATGCCCCGCGGGCTGCCCGCGCCGCCCATGGCCAGCTCCCCGCCGTCCTCCTCGGAGCCCCCCCCGGCAGTCCCGGGACCTCCCGAGGCCTCCCGGAGCTTCCCGAGGCCTCCCAAGGGCTCCTCCCGAGGCCTCCCAAGGCCTTCCCGAGGCACTCCCGAGTCAAAACCCGAGGGGTTCCTGAGGCGTTCCCGAGGTTTCCTGAGGCCTCCCGAGGCTTCCCCGAGCTTCCCCAAGCTTCCCAAGGCCTCCCGGGGAGCCTCGGCGCGCCTCCGCAACGCTTCCTCCCACGACCCGCCCGTCGTCCTCCGCAGGGCTGGAATGGGCGTCCGACGGCCAGTCCCAATGCTGAGACGACACCCGGACGGGGACAGCTTCGGAGGAGGATAGATCGAGAATCCCCGAGATCCGGCGGCTCTGGAGGCTGTATCAGAGCGACCCAAAACGCTCTGTCTGAGAGCGTTCCGGAACGCTCTGGAATAGGATCGTCTCCTGTCTCCGCCGCGCCCGACGGGCCCCGGGGACCCACACCTGCAGCGGACTGCCTCTTTTCCAATCGCAGCATGTTTTTGTTTCTCTGCCTCCGTCTCGGGCCGTCTCCATGTCTGCGGTGGGCCCAGGGCGTATAAAGGATGCGGCCGGGAGCTTCGCACGGGCCCGAGGATTGGACCGAAGGCCGGACGTCTGAAGCAGGAGGCCCAACCGGAGCCAAAAACAGAGGGCAACGATTGACAGGCTTGGCTCGCGGCCGGGGCTCGTCGGCCGTGGCCTCACTGGGCACACGGCGGCTCTGCGCGGAGGCCTCGCCCGAAACCGATCGGCGCCGCGGCGCCCAGGCCGCGCAGGCATAGCTGTGGACGTGCTCGTCGCTCGTGCCTCGGCGTGCGAGCCGCCAGGGGGGGGTACATCGCGGGCCTGGTCGCGCCCAGGTCGTGGGAAGGTCTCGAGCTCAGCTGCCCCGATGCGCAACACGCAACGCGTAGCGTGGTGGCACGGAGCTCAACACGTAGACTGGGAACGCAGGTATGACGCGATGCTTTCGCCAAAACGTGGGCCAACACGTTGAGCCAGCACGCAACTTATCGACACGGACGTTTGGAGCACGGCAGCTGTTGCGTATCAAAACGGGCGTATCGAGGCAGCTAAGGACTCGAGCGGTGCTCTTGTTTTTGGGCGGGGTGGACGCGTCTCTGTTCTAAAAGACCCAAGACCATCGCGCTGTAGCAGACATGGCACCCAGGCGCCCCACGGGCCCGCTCGCGCCCAGACTGCGGAGACGTCTCGAGTGGTTCGTCTGTTTCGGTGGGGCGAAATATTTCTTCGAGGCCGCGTGATCATCGCGATGTGCCACGCACCTCATCTGGGGACCTGCGAGGGGGTGTATCCAAGGCCCGTTCGCGCGCAGATTGTGGGGATCTCTCGAGCGAGGCGCTTGCTTTGGGAGGTCGACGTTCTTCTGTTTCAAAAACGCAATACCTGGACGACTTAGCAGGCGTTGGCCCCAAGGAGGAAGGGGTATATTACACGTCAATTGGCCCTCAGATTGTGAGGATGTCTCGGCCCATCAAGCCTCCGGCCCGACCATGCCCCGACACTCGAGCTCGCCTGAGAACGGATGCGCGTGTGGGGGATCTCCGCGCCGATATTCTGCTGTTTCTGTGGTCCCCCCGCCAACTCAGCGCAATCGCATGCTTACCGCGCGGGTCGGAGCCAGGGCAACGTCGCTTCCGGATCTGGGAGCACGACGGGGGCCCAGGGGTAGGCAGATAAATACACACAAGTCTCAGGATCCCGTGTATGTTCATACTCATGTGGTTTCGGGGTTGGCGTCTTCCCCTCCACGTCCAATAGTTTCCCATGTTTCTTTTTGGGAAATCGACGATTGGATGTGTCTGGCAGGGCGGCAGCGCCGGGGGGGGCACGGACGGTCGCTCGGGGATGGAATCCCTGGTGCAGAGGCGGTGACGACGACGACGACGACGAGGAGGAGGAGGAGGAGGAGGAAGAGGAGGAGGAGGAAGAGGAGGAGGCGGACAAGGACAAGGACATCCGCATAAAAGGGGGCGCAACGTCAAAACACCTACGCTGGAAAATCCCGTGCGATCGATTGTGCAACAGCCCTGCCTTCTCGCTAGGGCCGGCAGGGGGGACGCCACGTTGATCAAGGGCTGAGCTTGAGGTGGTCCCGTAAGAGACGCTCGCTGCGTTACGATCGCGAGTCCCTGCGGGTCACCCCGGGGGGAGCGGCTGGTGGCACTTTCGCTTGCCCTAGGGGAGGGCACGCGCGGGCTTAGCTGTGCGCCCAACGGGAGAGGAGACGACGACACGACCACTCAAAAGAATGAGAGGGGGGAGGGTCTGGAGGCCAATGCCCCCAAACTTTTGCTGGGAGGGCTGCTTACACTACCGCTTTAATGATATGTTCCATTCTCCCGCTCGGCTCACTTCTCGGACTAGCCGAGAGGCGCCCCATGCCTTGTCGCATCTGTACTCTGATACCCTGTTGAAGTATCCAACCGATCCCCCTCGAGGTGGATGTGGGGTAGAACATGCTGGTAGTCACGGTACATAGTGGGTGAGCCATCCACGGAGCACTCTGGTAGACTTCGTGATGATCACTTTTTGTTCTTCTCTTTCGACACCCTGCAGTAATGTACCTGTCGGCACTCAAACACATACTTCCCATTGCGATGACAGTACTCCGTGGTGCCCACCCTGTTTGCCCCGAGTAGCACTCCGAGAATACCACGCGAATGCATCTCTTGGCTGCCCGTGGGCTCGTCCACCTTGCCCAAACGAGCATTCCGAGAGAACCTCGCTAATGCTTCTCTTGGCATTCCAGTGGGCTCCAGTGGGCGCACTCACTGGTGGTCGCTGGAGGAGCTGGCCGTAGTCGTCTCTTCCAAATTGGGGTAGCCGAACTTTGCCTCGAAGATCTCGGTGACGGCCAGAAAGGTCTGCGTGCTGTCTCGTAGCTTCCGGCGCCCCTTGAGCCTCTTCACTTCCTCTGGGTCGAGATTGTCTTCTCTACTCAGCTCCTTCAAGGCTATCTTCATGACATTGTGGAGGTTGTCTTCGTCTTCTATAATTCTATATAAATCTCCAGCGCCAGCTCGCACCAGCTCTGTACAGTAAAGGCATTCCTCCCTGCCCTTTCCCACGCGTCCACAGGGTACCTTGCGATGAGATCGCAACCTTAGACCTTGTGCGTCACCGGGAAGGACACGGGGATCAGCTCGAAAAGATCCTCTGGGTTCATCTTCTGGGCGGCGTCGAAGAACTGGTAGTGGCACTCCTTTATGGCGTCGTCTAGCTTCCGCGGCAGCCTTTCTACTACGAGCGCTCCCCATGCATGTCCCACCTTGAGCTCCACCACCATCGACGGCCCACTCTTGTACGGAGAAGGACGACGACGACGAGGTGGATGATGAAGAGGACGAGGAGGAGCTTGTCGGGCCTGCCTTGGGGCGCCGGGTGGGGGAGGGGATCCTGCGAGGTCCTGGGGTCGGGGGGACCGGGGGGGACGGCCGGGTAAGATCGGTCGCCGCGGGAGGCCGGGCCGCCGCAGGCAGGCCGCAACCTGCGAGAGGACGGGGGGCCGGGGGCAGCGGCAGGCAGGGGGCGGGCGGCAGCAGGAACGCCGATGGCCGGGGAGGCGGTGCCCGCAGAGGCCGCGTGCGGCCTGCGGCTCGCGGAGGCCCGGGGGGAGGGCCCTGCAGGGGCCCGCAGCCTCGAGCCTCGAGGCTCCTGGGTCGTCCTCGATCCTCCTCCATCCACCCTCGACCCTCCTCAGCTCCTCGCTCCTCCTCTATTCCTCCTCCTCCATTCCTCCTCCTCCTCCTCCTCCTCCTCCTCCTCCTCCTCCTCCTCCTCCTCCTCCTCCTCCTCCTTCTCCTCCTCCTCCTCTTCCTCCTCCTCCTGCTCCTCCCCTCCTCCTCCTCCTCCTCCTCCTCCTCCTCCTCCTCCTCCTCCAACTCCTCCCCCTCCTCCTCCTCCTCCTCCTCCTCCTTCTTTCGATATCCGTATGCAACAAAAACTCCCCCCTGTCGCATTCCGAGGCCAGTTTAAGAGGCGGTCCGGACGTTTCGCCTGAGACCTCCTCACCCTTTATGACCCTGAAGCTTGGAATTCGACAACAGTTTTACAGATGGAAGGCGGGTCGTTTTCAACATGTGGCTCTCGCCTTAGCGCCGCGCGCGTTAGTTTGTAACATGTGCCAGGGTTTCACATATTGAGGGCGGCTCCTTTGCAGAACATTGCTCTCGTCTTGGCACGGCGCACATTCGTTTGGACAACTTGCAAAGAGTTCCACGGAGTCCCATGATCAGCGTACCAGATGTGGTGTTTTTTTTTTGAAAGGATTCAGGATTATCAGGGTGCAGCAGTTACGTTGATCGCGGTGTAGTCCCACAGAATGGTGTGCTGGCACGTTTACGATCGTCAAGACGCACCAGTCAGGTTGATCCGTGGCGTTGGAATCCCGACAATAATGTTTTAGCATGCTTTACGGTTGTCTTCCAACGAAGCAGTTCCCTGTGTAAATGAACCGATGTATGGGGCCTGTGAAGAGGGAGCTTGGGGCTGGGTTTATTCCAACATAGTCGATGACTCTTGGGTTTTCACTGGTCCTCCTCCTCCTCCTCCTCCTCCTCCTCATCCTCTTCCTCCTCCTCTTCCTCCTCCTCCGCCTCCTCCTCTTCTTGCTCCTCCTCCTCCAATTCTTCCTTCTCCTCCTCGACGTTCCTCCATCCTCCTCGATCCTCCTCGCTCGTGGCCCTGCCACCCTCTGCGGCGACGGTCCCCGTGGCAGGGCCCGCAGCATGCCCAGGAGAAGCGCCCACCACTCCGGCGGCACACCTCGGCCGCCACCCGACCCCTCCCCCCGGACGGCAGCGAACGGCCATGCCTTACGCCGGCAGGCGACCGAGACGGGCGACAAGAAGACTCCTCCGGGCCCTCTCTGCGCACGAAGCCCACGCGGGGGATCTGCCCGAGAAGACTCCACCCGGCCTCTTGGGGGCAGGCGCGGTGGATGCAGGCGCGGCGGGTCCCCGAGGGATCGTCGCGCGGAGCGCGCCGGAGATGTGCGGTCGGGAACTTCTGCCGGGCGCTTCGCGGCGGCGGTCATGGCGACACGCGGTCCCCTGCGAACGCGTGACGTATGGCTCCGCTCCGCCAGGCGGGAGGCCGGGAAAGGCGCGTGACGTTGACGCTCGGGGACTCGGACACGATTCGCGTGTCGCACCGACGGGTGCTGGGCCAGAGCCCGCGGCGCGACGAGCTGAGCGAGAGGTCCAACGGCTGTCGCCCCTCCAGTTGGCTGGAGTCCTCCAGCCGATCTGGGGGGCGACAGGGTGTCCATACCCACATCAATCCTCAGGCCTCCACGAGCCTCCTCGAGCCTCCTCGAGCCTCCTCCTGCTCTTCCTCCTGCTCTTCCTCCTCCTCCTCCTCCTCGATTTTCCTCGATCATCCTCGATCCTCCTCCCCGATCCTCGATCGTCCTCGATCCGCCTCGTCTTTCTCCTCCTCCTCGATCTCTCTCGCTCCCGGGCATTCGCTCGTGGGCGGAAGCCGACCGGCGTGGGGAGCGGCGCCCAAATGCAGGGGCCTGGCTGCAGCAGCGCGTGCCAGAGCCGCGCCCCCGCGGGCAGCGCGGCGGCCGACACCGAGGCGCAGCAGAACAGGTCCGGGTGCTCGGGCTCGCTGCCCACGGAGGCTGCGCGGTCGAGGGGCGCGCTGCCGCCGACTCCCTCCCTGCCGACTGCCCCCAGCCCCCTCCTCCACCTCCTGCTCCTCCACCTCCTGCTCCTCCACCTCCTCCTCCTCCTCCTCCTCCTCCTCCTCCTCCTCCACGATCCCTCTCGTCCTACTCCTCCTCCTCCTCCTCCTCCTCCTCCTCCTCCTCCTCCTGCTGCTGCTCCTCCTCCTCCTCCTGCTCCTCCTCCTGCTCCTGCTCCTGCTCCTGCTCCTGCTTCTCCTGCTTCTCCTCCCTGCTCCTGCTCCTCCTCCGCCTCCTCCTCCTCCTCCTTCTCCTCTTCCTCCTCCACCTCCTCCTCCTCCTCCTGCTGCTCCTCCTTCTGCTCCCCCTTCTGCTCCTCCCCCCCCCCCTCCATCCCGCACTCCTCCTGCGTCTGCGAGAGGAAGCCGCCTGCATCAGCAGGGGCCGAGGACCGAGGCTCCAGGACGGGGGGCCGAAGGTTCGAGGATCGAGGGTTCCAGACTCGGTGATCGGGCTTCGGGGTTTGAGGATCGACGGTAGAGCACCGGGGTACGAGGCTCGAGGACAGGGGGCTCGAGGTTTGAGGATCGGGGCTCGAGGATCGAGGTTCGAGGATCGGGGTCGAGATTTGAGGTCCGAGGGTCGAAGATCGGGGTTCGAGGCTCGAGGATCGGGGATCGAGGTTCGAGAATAGAAGTCAGGAGGTCGAGGTTCGAGGTTCGATGACTGGGGATCGAGGATCTAGGTTCGAGGATCGAGGAGCCAAGCTCGGGGCTGAAAACTGAGTATCCAAAGGTGTAGCGGCCGTCGGGTCCTTTTCGGGCCTCCTGGGACCCCCTCGTCACCACGGATGGACTACCAACCAGAATTATAGCCAAGGCGCGCTCCAGGACGGGCATGGATATGGACACACATCAAGATGGAGGTATCCAGGAAACCCGCTTCCAGAACGCAGAGTCGTCAAACAAAACATAGAGGGCGAGATAGATGTCCAGGGGAAGGTGTCGAGTGCATGAAGGCCCGTTGGTTGAAAGGTCGTAACGTCGGAGATCTGGGAGAGAGAAGTTCTGCGATAATATATAATTTAGTGAATACATAAATCAACATACATATATATATATATATATATATATACATATATATATATATATATTGTTCAGGCCGCTCGTCATGTTCTGCCAACTTGTACCTGATCCCAGCAGCTGACGCGTCAAACGTGCGCAGCAATGATTAGTCGGCCGAAACGCGCGTCACACCAAGCAAACGCGAACGGAATGGAGACGCCAAACATGTGCCGACCGCAGGTCGGCGCGGAAAGCGCGTGCCAGCCAGGCAGTGTCAATACGCCTCAAGGGCATCATGATAATGAATGTGGTTCTGGCCACCTGTTGCTTGCACCAACCTATTGCGCCCGCTGTGATCATGGCGACTGTCGGGAGCCGTATGGCCTTTGCCACGCGTGCCGCTGTTTCCATCTGCCGCACATCGAACAACGACACCTGTACAAGGGGTTGACGCTGTCGACCCAAATATGCGAGCTGCGACGCCCATACAATGGGCAGCTGCAACTCTATTGGCTGCAACGTCTCTCCTCCCCCGGGGCGGGAGGGGGGGGAGCCTCAGGCCTCCTCCCTGGCTCGTGCTGCTGTTGTTGTTCCCCCCATTCCCTCTCTTCGGTCGTCTGATGACGTTCCGGGCCCGCCTGACGCCGTCGGAAGCTGTTTTGGAGGCCTCTCTGGGCCGACTTAGGGCCCTCTTGGGGCACTTCAGGGCCGTCGTGGAGGCCATCCTGGGCGTTAGGAAGTCTCTTGGGCCGTCTTGGAACCCTCTTGGGGCAGTTTCTGGGGACTCTTTGGCAGTTCAGGGGGCCCTTTCGGAGACCTCTTGCGCGTTCTGGGGGTCATGCTGGTGGCCCCTAGAGCCGTCGCCTGCCGTTGGGAAAACGAGCATGAGCAAACGCCCAAATCCTTCAACCATCAAAAATGCACATGCACAATTGTGGCCTCTTCGGGCCTTCCTGGAGATTCTCTTGTAGGACTTCTGGGCCGTCTTGGATGCCTCTTGGGCCTTCATTGGCGACATTGAGGCGATCTTGGGAGCAGCTTGGCCAGTCTTGGAAGCATCTTGAGGCCCTCTTGGGGCCATCGCCGCCATCCTCTAGACCATCCTGGCCGTCTTGGAGGCCCTCTTGGGGCCGCCTGGAGCGGGAAGACCGACGACCTATAGGAAAGCTACGAACACCTGTTTCTGAGTGCCCAGCGCGATCGGCCGGCCTTCCAAAGCCCTTACTTGTTCAGGCCATCTCGTAGGCCTCTCAAGAGCTCTCGGGGACATCTCGTTGGTCTCCTGGGCCGTCTAAGGCCGTCGGGAAACAGCACAGAAACACAAATGCCAACATCATCTAACGCCGTACGGAGAATCAACGACTTCGGCCTCTTCGGGCCTCCTGGAGATCCCCCTGGATGCTTCCTGGGCAGTCTTGGAACCATATTGGGGGCCTCTTGGGCCGTCTCGGGCAATCATAATTGGGCCATCTTGGGTCGTCCTGTGGCCATCTGAGCAGGTCTTGGAGGCATCTTGGGCTCCCTGTTGGGCCACCTCGGAGTGCTTGGCAACGAACTGTCTGGTTTTCCTGGCCTTCCGCGCGGCGGGCGCACGAAGCCGCGATCCCACTGGGGACATTGCAAAAGGGACAAACACCACTCTGAGATCCAGCACGCCGTGCACCCCCTGTGGCAAGCACGGGGGGCGGCGGATATAGCAGCCTTCGGCCCACCGCGCCCAGTGTTGTAGGTCAGAGGCCTCTCGGATGCCTGTGGGGCCCTCTTGGGAGGCCTCTCGGGAGCCTCTTGGAGGCAGTTTGGTGTATCTTTGGGCTCTCGTGTGCACTGTTCTGTGCGCTGTGCTCCCGGTGCTGTTGGGGTTCTGCGCAAGTGTGCCGCCGAATTCGCTGGGTTGCTGGGTGGCCAGATCCCCCAGTTCTGGGCCTTGGTAGAGGTCCCCCGCCAGATCCAGCGGGAGATTGAGAATATATAGAGAAAGTAGGTAACGTAGGCCGAATGAAGGGATATCATGGAAAGTATATTTGTTTAAATGGAGAATCGGTGGGTATTTCTACTCATACCTACGTGTGATAAGGAGGTTGTGTGTGGGGGGTCAGCATTTGGTGTGCGACTGAGGTAGGATTGGATTCGGCAGAAACCAGTTGGGCACCAAAGAGTACCTGTTTGGTCATCTATCTATCCGCCGACCCCTTGTGGGTCTCCAGGCGTGTGGGATTGATTCTCCTTTCAAAACAATTAATAGATTCTCCCCCCCTCCCCCCCGGACTTATCGGCTCCCCCTGGGAGGATATGATTTCACATATATATATATATAATATATGTATATATTTTTTCATATATATATATATATATATATATATATATATATATATATATATTCTGCACACTCGTCCATCCTAAATATGAAATCATACCATCCCAGCCAAACACGGGTTCCCCCCCCTGAGGTTCCCTTGTAAAAAACTATGGGGTGACATTTTTTTGCTCTAACATAAAAAGTTGTCCGGGATCCGTTGCAAAAAAAGACGAAGTGCACACGCGCGCGTCGTCGCGCGCGCATGCCGAAATCCTTCAAAACTATTCGTTTCCAGAGAGATTTCAAAATTGAATTTCCAAAAACATGCAAAAACAAAGGGTTTCGCAACATTGATTTGCTAAAAAAGCTTACGCGCGAGCTCTTGCGAAGTCTGAAGAAAACCATAGGTTTTTCAATCATTTCACAAAATCCTACCAAACGGGCTTCGCGCGCGCATCTCGAAATCTGTCGAACGCCCTTTCGCGTGTGCCGTCGCGAGAATCTTCTGCAAAAAATGGGACGAAGTGCAGACGCGCGCGAAGTCCCGCGCGTATGCCGAAATCCTACAACAACCTTCGGTTCCGGAAAGATGCCAAAATCGTGTGTCCAAAATACCTACAAAAACACAAGGTTTCGCAACACGGGTTTTCAACAAAAGCGTGCGCGCGCGCTCTTGCGTCGTCGTCGTCGTCGTCGTCCTCCCTCCTCCCTCGTCGTCGTCGTCGTCGTCGTCGCCGTCGTCGTCTTCTGTCTTTCCTCGTCGTCGTCGTCGTTGGCGTCGTCGTCGCTTCCGTCGTCGTTGTCGCCGTGGTCGTCCTTCCTCCCTCGTCCTCTTCGTCGGCGTCTCGTCGTTGTCCCCCCTATTTCGTCGCCGTCGTCGTCGTCGTCGTCGTCGTCGTGGTCTTCACTCCTCCCTCGTCGTTATCCTCCTCCCTCGTCGTCGTCGTCGTCGTCGTCGGCGTATCGTCGTCGTCCCTCCTATTTCGTCGCCGTCGTCGTCGTCTTCGTCGTCGTTGTCGTCGTCGTCGTCTTCCCTCCTCCCTCGTCGTTGTCGTCGTCGGCGTCGCCGTCCTTCCTCCTTCTTCGTCGTTCGCGTCGTCGCCGTCTTCCCTCCTCCATCGTCGTTGTCGTCGTTGTCGCCGTCGTCGTTTTTTCTCCTCCCTCGTCGTCGTCTCCGTTGGCGACGTCGTCGTCGTCTTCGTCGTCGTCGTCGGCGTCGGCGTCGTCGTCGTCTTCGTCGACGTCGACGTCGGCGGTGTCGTCGTAGTCGGTGTCTGCGGCGCCGTCGTCGTCGTTGTCGCTGTCGTCGTCGGCGTCGGTGTCGTGGCCAAGTGCCATGCGGTACCTACCGTCACGGTCTTGTCTTAAGAAGTCTTGCGACCAAGTTGCGGGTGGGAGTGTGGGATGTTTGCACGAGCAGTAGATGGGACAGCTTCAAGACGGTCAAAGTGATTCCCCCCCAATAATCCCCCCCCACAGGGACCCCAAACCGGGATTTCCCCCCCTCCCCCCCCCCCCCGGCCCGGCTTGGCCCTGGACCGAACTCACCCAGGGCGGTCTGGGCTCCCTAGGCTCGCTCTTGAGCTGCACGACAGCACTTGACGCCTCCCAAGAAGCCGCCAAGACGGTCCACGAGT